TATTTAGAGAAGGACATTCACATGGGCTTCTCCGATCTTTTAAAAGATTTAGTCGAGTCAAAAGCACGATAAACTTCGAGATTATCAAAAAACAAATATAGTTGTCTTTTAGGTTTTATGTCCAAACCTCTAATAGTCTAAAGTAGAAGTGTTCACGGATATGTGAACTCCGAGTTTTTCGGACTTTAAGATTCCAAATCAAATCTTTGGATCTCGGATATCCGAACTCCAAGTTTTGTAAGAAAAATTAATGATATTTCCGTACATTTTAATAAACATCAAGGGTATTTTGTAATGTTTTATAAATATCAAGAATATTAATTTCATAATTTTTAAAATATTTTAGATAATTTTGTATCTTTAAATATTATGAAGATTTCTGTAATTTTTATCGGGTATACGTGTGTACATGACCTTTAAACGAAAAATTCAAATTCATAGCTAAACTCGCAGGTATTGCATGTATATTACAAGAAAGAGACCGTGACTCTATATACAAGTAGTATTTGAGTTAAATATGCACGAATTTGGTAATTTTGAGCTTCCATATTTTCAAAGACACCATTATATATATAAAATAACGGATTCAGAAAAATTTATAATAAGAATCAAAGATAATTTTTTAAAATTTTATTACGAGAGCATTTAATAATTTGATTTAAAAACTTATAAAATTTACAAAAAAAAGTTATTTTTTATAAAAACAATGGAAGCAAAGGATCCTATTGTAATACACATGGGTCAAACACCGTAAAAAAAATATATGAGTAATCGCATATAAATATATGAACTTTTATAAAATTTCCAGATAAATACCTAAACTATAAATTCTCAAATAAATATCTGAACTTTTCGAAACTTTCATATAAATACCCAGTCTTTTAAAAAATTGTCAAATAAAACCAAAATCTATTAACATCTTTTAATTTATAACGGAATCCGACAAAAAATGATGACTTAGTCGTTTAACGCCGTCAACGAATGTTGTTTTATTTAACAATTTTTTAAAAGTTTGGGTATTTATATAGAAATTTTGAAAAATTCAGATATTTATATGAGAATTTTATAGTTTAGATATTTATTTGAGAGTTTTATAAAAATTCAGTATCTTGTAGCGATTATACCAAATATATATATATATATATATATATATATATATGAAAAAGTAAAACTCACGCGATATTGCTTTCAAAAACTTCCCAACTGATTCTATTCATTTGTAAAGAACATGAATTACAACTCTTTTTTTGTTCGAGCCTAATCCATCCCAAGAACACAACTCCCCCTGAGTTTGTTCCCCCTTACAACATGAATTCTATCAGCCCATACACTATGTGTGCCTCGCACACCCCGTGTAACCCTAGACTCGTCTAGGTCCTTTGAGCGGTTCGCCTGTTTTTGAAGGCTCCCCCTCAGATGCACTTCACTCTCTTTCAAGTATCACTCACCTGTGTTTCCCACACCTATGATTCTCCAGCTTGTTTGCTCTTTGCTCTCTTTTTCTATTCTGCTGGGATACCTTTCTGTATCTCCCACGTCTTGTATTTATGCATAACTCCTCTTCTTGTTTCCAATATTTTGCTCAATATCTTCTTTTCTTTTTCTTGAACTTTATTCCTTTTGCTTGATCTTTCCATTTTTCTTCAATGGCATGTTTTTTTTTTCTTGCAAGTCATTCCCTTACTGGTTGTTCCTTCCGTTTCTTCACATTGACCTGTTTCCTTTTTTCTTGAGATCTTCTAGATATTGAATCTTCGCTTGATGCTCTTTCCTTGCATTAACATTCTCCCCCTTTTTGACTTTATGCTTATACCCAACTTATGCTTGAATACACATTCATCCACTTGGCTCCTTGATATCATCCTCAATGATTTCAACCATACATATTCGCTCACCAACTTCAACCATACACCTTTCTGATCATTCTCCTCTTGAATCATCTCTCCCCCTATGTGTATGATCATATACCTTTCGATCCTTTTCTCCCCTTGTGTATAAGCATAAATTCAAAACCATACCTGAGCTTTTGATTGCTCAATTCTAGGCTCGTGTCTTAGGATCCTTGAGAGAGTTTCTTAAAATCTGGTTGTCAACCCATGTGTAGCAATTGCTTGATGTCCTCTGCCCAGTGAAAGTACACTTGTTATCCGTATTGGTCACCAAGCACGCATCCTTTGTGAACTTCACCTCCATGCCATTATCACATAGTTGACTTATGCTGATCGAATTAGTCTTTAAACCCTGCACGACCTTGACATCCGTCAGCTTGGATGCTCCATCACATTCCAGAGTTCCTTTACCAATGATCTTCCCTTGTTTTCCATCTCCGAATGTAACATTGTCACTTGTCAAACCTACTTCAAAATCCGTCAACAGCTTCTGACGTCCTGTCATGTGTCTTGAACACTCGCTATCCAAATACCAAACACAATCTCCACTCGTTTGTTCAGACGTACAGGCAACATTGTATGACACATCGGATTTACGAATCCACCTAAGATTCTTCGAAGGATGAGACAGATAAGAGTGATTCAAGTTCGAATGAACGTACCAATTAGAGTTCCTTTTCTGTCGTAGATAATAGCAATTCCTTCGAATATGTCCTCTTTTCCCACAATAATAGCATCTTCTGCACTCTTTTTGCTATTGAGAGGTTCGTAGATCCACTTTGACTCTTGGGTTATTTTTGACAGTGCCAAAAGTACTTCCTACCAAGTCAAGGTACTTCTCGTTCAAGATTTCCTCCGGATACGAATGTTGGGTGATATTCCTCTTTTCCCACATATCCAAGCCCTGATTGATCTTGTGCACTCCTTCCCTGTCCAAGTAGATAATCCAACTTACCAGTTCCACTTCCAAGAAGATGAAGATTTTTCTTGGTCTCTTCAATTTGACATCTCATGAGTGAAGCTTCTTCTTCTTTTTTAGACAGTTGATGCTGAGTAGATGTCAGCTGGATCTGAGTATTTTTTAATTCCTTCTCCAGCTGCTTCTTCTCATCCAGCAGATACCTATTCATTCGAACGAGTTTGGTCATCTCATTGAACAAGTCATCCTCAGTTACCTCTTCATCATCACTTGAATCATCTTCCAGTGTTTATTCTCCTTCTTCAATAAGTCCAAAAAATGCAATGAGGTTAGACAATTCTTCATCGTCACTGTCCGACCCAGTTTCCTCCTCCTCATGAATGATACGTGATTTTCCCTTCTTCTTGACACATTCCATCTTGGTATGCCCAAATCCCTTGCACTCAAAGCATTGAACCTCACTCAACTTCTTCAACAGACTTTCCCTCTTGATAATACTTGGACATTGCGCTCTCTCATGTCCAGTTCCATTACACTCCAAACATTTGCCAAAACGTTTATCATCCGTTTGCAAAGCTTCCCTTCTTGTGTTGAAGAATCTGTCGAACTTCTTAATAAAACGTGACATCTCATCTTTTAAAGAATCCTCTGATAATTCTTTATCCTTGAAAGATGAACTCACTCTTTGTTTTGGAGAAGATGTCTCTGGTAGTGAAGTGTAACTCCCAGATTGTGAGGTGTACTTGATCTTCCACTCATAAGTTCCATCCTTAACTCATGTGCTGCAAAGGTGCTTACAACTTCTTTGAAACTTACAGTATCCAAGTTATTCGTACCTTCGAAAACCAAGATTTGAGAGTGATACTTAGCTGGTAAACTATTGAGAAGTTTCTTCATAAGCTTCTCGTCATTGAACTTCCTTCCAAGTACACTTGCTTCATTTGACAAAGCGCTCAACTTTCCACAAAACTCTTTGACACCCTCGTTCTTTTCCATCCTTAAATGCTCAAACTGATAATCAATCATATCCAATCTGTTTCTTTTTACTTTCGTACCTTCATGGATGAGTTCTAGAGTGTCTCATGCCTCTTTTGTTGTTTGACATCCTTGAATTTGAGTGAATTCTTCATGACATACAGTGCTGAAGATGATTGATAAAACCTTTTGATTTAAAGCAGATCTCCCTTTTTCTTGGGTTGTCCATGTGGCTTTTGCTTTGATCCTTTCAACTCCATCTATTACTTCAGTGGGAGGCATCCATCCGTTTATTACTCTATTCCACGCATCTTCATCCATACCACGTATAAACGCACTGATTTTGACCTTCCAATGGCTGTAATTCTCCGAGTCAAGCATCGTAGACATCTTTACTGTCTGAATCTCCTTGAACCCATACATCGTGTGAGACTGGATCTTAACACCGATATGAGAGGAACATTTCCTACGATCAGTGACCTGCTCTGATACCAATTGAAAAAGTAAAACTCACACGATATTCTTTCAAAAACTTCCCAACTGATTCTATTCATTTGTAAAGAAAATGAATTACAACTCTTTTTTGTTCTAGCCTAATCCATCTCAAGAACACAACTCCCCCTGAGTTTGTTTCCCCTTACAACATGAATTCTATCAACCCATACACTATGTGTGCCTCGCACACCCCGTGTAACCCTAGACTCGTCTAGGCCCTTTGAGCGGTTCGCCTGTTTTTGAAGGCTCTCCCTCAGATGCACTTCACTCTCTTTCAAGTATCACTCACCCGTGTTTCCCACACCTATGATTCTCCAGCTTGTTTGCTCTTTGCTCTCTTTTTCTATTATGCTGGGATACCTTTCTGTATCTCCCACGTCTTGTATTTATGCATAACTGCTCTTGTTTCCAATATTTTGCTCAATATCTTCTTTTCTTTTTCTTGGACTTTATTCCTTTTGCTTGATCTTTCCATTTTTCTTCAATGGCATATTTCTTTTTCTCTTGCAAGTCATTCCCTTACTGGTTGTTCCTTCCATTTCTTCACATTGACCTGTTTCCTTTTTGTTTGAGATCTTCTAGATATTGAATCTTCGCTTGATGTTCTTTCCTTGCATTAACAATATATATGTAACGTGGTACTTTTATTGTGCAAATAAGAAACTAGATCGCACGACAAAAAAAACAGAAGAAGAAACTAGATCTTCGATCCCGGACCAAAATAAAACTGACTCCACGACATATTAAAATATATAGTTTGATTCGTTAACTGTACGTCCAGAGCTTCCTTATCGGCATCACCGACGATGCTTAACAAAACCTAATTCGCAAAAAAAAAATAAAAAAAAAAAAGAGACCAAAACGAAAACATGAAATGGTCCTAACTTAGATACTCCATAATTAATAAAATATATTATCATGTATTCAGAAGATTCCAAAGATCAACATCAAACGTTGCTGGCGAGTTGTTCATCCACGAACTCTCCGCAGCGATCTTCTCGTCCTCCTCCGCCGCCGTCCCTTCGCCTTCTTCCAACAAATTCTCCCACCACATAACCTCCCTCCCCTCTTTCACTACGGTACTCGTAATCTCATATTCATCTTTGCAAATGCAACCTGTTATTGTTTTCTTACCATGAAAGATATCATCATTATTACCATCATTATTATCACTATCTTTGTTCTTGCTTCCCCGAAAAGGGATTTCGGGCGGGGGGTTGAGGAGCCGGCGCTGGGTGCTGTCGGAGAAGGATCGAGGTCGAGGCTTTATAACGTCGATTTTTTGAACCGGTTCGGTCGGAAAACCGACGTTGATCTTTTTCTTGCAAGCCGGTGCGGTCTTGGAATGAGATGGTTGATCTTGTTTTTTGCTGAGATGGGTGTTCCAATAGTTCTTGACATCGTTAGCGGTCCGACCTGGCAATCGGCCTGCAATCAACGACCACCTGCGCATATACGAACATGCATGTCCACTTAGAGATTATATTAAACGTGTATTTATGGATGATCACCTTAGGATTTTTATTAATGGTTCCGTCTAGTGCTTGGTTTCCAATTGGAGTGGAGAAGATATATATCATATTCCATTTTTGGTTATAGTAAAGATACAAAAGAACACGTGGATTGATACTTTTAAGTGAAAAAAAAGGGACAAAACAGTTAGTGAGGTTGAAAAAAATGGGGACCAAATATTCGAATGAAGCCAAGTCGAAGGTCGTCCTTTACAGACAGCATCTTTGTAGAAGGCCCTATGAAATTTAATGAGCCCATATTCAAAAATAATTTGTTTTAGCATATATATATATATATATATATGTGAACAAAACACTAATTTTATATGGAAAATTTTAGAGCAGCATATATAAGGAGGAGAAACTGTGTAATTGATTAGGGGAATCTATGGTGCAATTACCTGTTTCCCAGAAGCTTATGGAGCCTAATGACAAGATCAACCTCCTCAGGGCTAAGTCTTCCTCTCTTGATGCTTGGCTTCAGATAGTTCAACCATCTCAGCCTACAACTCTTCCTGCATCGATTCAACCCTACGAAGCAAAGACGTGAAAACACGATATCACGATCAGTTAATCGGTTGGTTTCCTTCGATTTTGTAAGAAATAATCCATAATATGAACGTTTGATTATGTATGTATGTGTGTGTGTGTTTGTGTACGCATTTATGGACGTTTCTTTATTGAATTGATTAGCAGAAAGACCAAAAAACTCAGATGAGGTTCTGGAGCCATGTGCAGGTTTATTTAAAGAACATGACATTTAAGATGTTTCAATCGATTGTACCTTAAAACTGTTAACTAATGATTTGCAGGCGAATATGTTTTTAATTATCTATATGGAAAGTCGAAAAACAATTAACTAAATAAAAAAAAACTAAGTAAAAAAACTAAACATTAATGGGGTTTTTTTATTAAAAAAAAATAAGTGGATCACCAGCTCTTGAAGGGACTTGGTGCCATTTGCCTTCCCCATACTTCTCAACGCACTTCCTCAAGAGACCATCTTCTTCGGCAGTCCACGTCCCTTTCCTCAACCCTTGAGACCGACCCTCCATGAGGAAATATACAAAAATATTACAGCAAAAGCCGAAGGGAACAATGATACTGAAATTTCCAAAGTTCTTGGAGGATACAACTTGCCGTGAAAGAAGCCAATACAGTGTATGTGTATATATAGACGTGAAGAGATCAAGGGAGTGACGTGCTTGTTTGATATCCGCACACTTCATATACGTTAAGTTGCTGTATTATTTTATATATATATATATATATATATATATATATATATTCCAATTAGATAAAGGGTTATATATGTCTAATAGTTTCTCTTTGATTGTGATTAGTCACAAGTTGTCTGATAGTGAATCCCTTTGTACTTTCCGAACCTTTGATGTCGCAATGTTGTTCATGTGCATATAGCAGAGACAACAAGTTCAAGCCCCGGAAGAGTTCACATGGCTGCGGGTTTTTTTTTTTTTGGTTCGGATGTAAAAATAGACGAGTGATCTCATCTAATTTGTTGAGCTCCTTTTCGTGTTCTATTAAATGTGACAGATGATGTCAAAGAATATCTTGCATTAGATGGAAACTTTAACACTAAAGCATGCCTTGCAAGACGTTGAAAGCACAAGCGATTCGCTACCCTGCCCAAATTGTTGCATGACAATGCCAATACATTCATATATATATATATATATATATATATCAAATTCCTATTACAATCTTGTTTAGAAATCTCTAACAATCTCTACATGATATATTAACATTGGTCCATCATAAGACATGGGGGTGGGGATGGGTTCAATGAACTCCACCCCCACAATAAAGGAAAAGCATATAATAACTGAAACACCTTGCATTGCAGTTGAGAGGCATCTTTGTCCATTTCAATATAAGGTTACAATCAAAATAATTGTAGCCCATGTCCGAATTCTCGTGATTTCTTTACACTAACCAAAAACGAAATACACACACACACACATATATATATATATATCAATATCATTACAAAACTAAAAATGATGTATTCTATGCAAATAAGCACATATATATATATATATATATACACGCACACACAAGTAGGGGAAACATAAGACCTTGAGGCGAGAAAACATGGTGTCCAATTTCATCCATCATATCCACTGCTCGTTTTGTAACGGTCAGCAGTAACAAAAGTATCAATATCATTACAGATCGCGAGACTTCGAAACAACCAAACAAAATCAAAGTCATGAAATGGGTCGATTACCCAACTTTCATCGTATAAATATATATACGTATACAGGATGAACGAAAAAGACTCGTGAAAATGAGTGGCGTGAGTCATGCTTTAAGCTAATTAAAGAAAAAAAAAACATCAAGACCTTTCACGTGACCGCCCAATGTTCGTCAAAATGCTATTTCATTCTTTCACGTGCATGCATTATCGCCGTAATTTCATTCTTTACTGTTCGTCAAAATGCTATTTCATACTCTTGGTTATATTTTGCAATCAAATTTATTAAAAGTTTAGTTCATTTATCGAAACTAAAATATATCTGTGTTTATATCTTCTTCCCTTTTCTTCCATTTGTTTCAATCTCTTACGTAAATCTAATAATTTTTACTGATTCGACTACGTTAGTGTTTTAATTATGTGCAAACTTTTTTATGTATATGCATTTTTATATTATGAAATAGAAAATGCAAGAGATTATTACTACAAAAAAACAACGAAATAGTGACGCAAATTTTACGTCACCAAAATGCATTTGTGTCACCTTTTAGAAAAGGTGACGCAACAGTGACGAAAAAAAGCGTCACCAATTGCACCATCATCATTTACGATTTCGTCACTAAGCGTCACCAATTAGTGACGCTTTGGTGACGTTGACATTTCGTCACTAATCAGTGACGCAAAAGTGACGCAAACCGCGTGACCAATTGGTGACGCAATTGCGTAACCAAACGCGTCACTAATATATGACGAAATTGCTTCACCAAAAAAGCGTCTGTCACCCAAATCGTTACCAATTAGTGACGCAACTTCGTCATTAAATGGTAACACATTTGCGTGATAAAATGCGTTATTATATAGTGACGCATTTGGTGACATAATTCGTCACCAACTGGGTGACGCAATTGCATCACTATGTTGCGTCACTATTTTAAAAAATAAAATAAAAAAAATAAAAACAAAAAAATATTATTATATTTAAATATATAATTAAAGTTTTTAATAATTAATTTACAAAACCAAAAAAATATAAAATATTTAATTTTGATTTCTTCCGCCGTAATTGGCTTGATCGCCGTCGCCATCGCCACCGCCACCGCTTCCTTGTCCTCCGCTTCCGAAACTCGGAAATCCTCGGGTTTCGAACTCATTGAAAAATTCTGCTTGCACTCGCAGTTCTTCAATAAGTTTCCGATCTTCTTCTTGTCGGCACAAGAATTCCGCTTGTTACCGGACTGCTCCTCTAATTGTCGCACTCGTCGTGCGAGTGAAAGCGTTTTCTGAGCAGTTGAAGGAGTATCTTCACCAGGATGATATGTGATATCGGTTTGCATTGAATCGAGACCGTATATCCGTCCAAATTTGTTCGGTGGAACAACCTATGTAATAAAAATATAATTAATTAATAATTTATTTTAAATTAAAATTGAATTGAAATTATTATAAGTTTATATATTTAAAAATTACCTGAAGATATTTCTCGTCAATTTTTTCTTTCGGCAAGTTAGGTTCCGATGCAGAAGCTTCGCCTTGTGTTGGTTGAGACGCAATAATCTAAAATATTAAAGAAACAATTAAAATTAAACATTAAATATTAATTAAAAAATTTATATTAGAAAATTTACCGAACTTGTTTCGCGATTTGTTGCGCTTTTCCATCAACCATCACGCCATCTTTTTGTGTATGTGTTGCTTTTAACAAATCTAACAACGTTGGCGCTTGACTGTTTTTAGCCATTTCATGCATAACACGACTAAAAGGCTTAGCTCCCGATGTATGCACATGCCCTCCGACATTAGGAACCATTTCAGCTTTTCGACTCTGAGACGCTCGCTGATTTTTCTCTTTGGTGGTTGGGGAAGCACAATGCTCCACCATTCGATCCCAATGATCTTTTTCGACCCAATATGAATGATCCATATAGGGTTGAGAAAGCCATTTTGTTTGAGTTTATGGACTCTGGCTTTCACTAATCGAATTACAGCCTCCTTCCACTTGCGTCGAACAAGTGCATCATACTCAGGATCCCACCGCCATTGTTGCTATATAAAAAATTTTATAAAATATAAATTACATAATAAAATAAATTTCAATTTTATAAGTATTTATAAATATAAAAAACTTACCACAAAGTTTAACCACCACGAATCTTTAGTAGATTGTGGGATCGTACTCCAATTAACATAAGCACCTTTAAAATTTTGTTTGATGAATTTTGATAAATTAGTGGTTATCTCAACATCAACACCAAACCTAAAAAATATTAAAAAATTTTAATTGAAATTTTATGTTGAAACAAAATATTTAAATTAAACATATTAAAATTTAAATTACCATTTTGTCCCTGGATTTTTTATCGGATCCAGTTTCAGTAACAAATTTCTTGCAGGATTATCTAATACCTCTGCCACGTTATCAATTGTAACCTGGGTTGGTGGCTGTGGTTGAGATTCGACCATATCAATTGAGAGAGATCTCTGATGTTGAGATCTTTCTCCCGATAAACGTGTACCTCTTCCGAAAGAACGACTCATCTACAATTTATTTAAAATTTAAATTACATTTATAATTTATAAATTATAAATTAAAATTTCAAAATAAAAAATAAAAAAAAACTTACCTTTTACCGAAGAGAGGAGAGGAGAGGAGTGGAGCCCTGCTGTGCAGGATTGACGCAATTGCGTCACGCCGTATATATACTCATATGGGTGACGCAATTTCGTCACCCAAAAACACGGTGAGGGTGACGCATTTTCGTCACTCCAAGCAGTAATTAATCTCGGTAAAACCACTAGGGTGACGCAATTTCGTCACCAAAAAAGACGTTGTTGGTGACGCAATATGTGGCAACGTGTACAACCAGTAACGGTAGAGGTGACGTTTCGTGATACGAATTTACCTGGGTGACGCATTTGCGTCACTAAATTGGTGGTGACGAAATTGGGTCACCATTTTGATATCGTGACGCAAATGCGTCACTCATTTGGACGCTTATGGTGATGCAAATGCTTCATCTGTTGCGTCACTGTGTATATTTTTTATAAAAAAAAAAAAGATTTCGTAATTACATAAAATTTTAATCACTATCTTCATCGGATGTTACTTCAACTTCTTTTTCATCTTCAATGTCGTCATTTCTTTCATCCTCGACTAAATTATCGTATTCAACATCCTCTTCGTTTGGTACAACAAGTTGCTCGTTCTGTGAATACGTAATACGGAATTATTGACCAATATCATCATCAATGCGTCTTTCTTGAAATGGGATATCGGTTGAACCTTCTTGTTCTTCATGAACAACACCTCGTGGTTGAATTTTAATGACAGCTCTCCAATGATCTCGACGTCGTTTGGACGTTGGATAACTTATGTAACATACTTGATCCGCTTGAGAAGATAGGATAAACGGATCGTATTTTGAATACTTCTTGGATAAGTTGATATCAAAACCGCCCGATCCATTTCTTCTCATACCCCTTCCAATGGTCGGATCAAACCAATCACAGTTAAATATAACCATCTTCAAACCAATATAGTCGTGGTATTCTAACACCATG